TCTTCAGTATTGAGCATGCTGTGGGCCATGAACTTGAGGGTTTGTAAAAAATATGGGTGGAAGCCGTGCACAGGACTGAGAGCTTGCAGTTCTGTGTAATTTGGATGTAATGTGGACCCTAAAAGCGCTCTATTTTGCAATGGAGTGTAGGCATCGTTTTTCAAAATGGCGATGGGCTTCAGGACTATTTTCAGGGGTGATCATCTTCAGATGGAAATTTCTCCTAAAAGTCATCACTTGACCGCCCGAAAATTGAAAAGAAAATGAAAGATGATGAAATTAGCTTTAATTTGATGTGTGTCTCGAACATCTTGGAGAGTTGTGAGTATTATTCCCGAATTTTTGAAGTGGGAGCATTTACCATTGGGGTCTATGGAAGTTTATTTACTGGTCTGCTACCTTAACGTTGCATACAAACAGTGCAAGCTTTTGTACTGTTTTTTTTCTCCGTTTCTTTTTCAAAACTATTTAATCAATTTGGACAGTTGTCAATTTACAAGGTGATTTTTTTCTGTTTCTAACCACAAAAACCTGGGAGAATGATAATATGGCCCATCCCCCCCCCCCATCATAACAAGTGTGGGGGATATATCCTCCCCATCCCGGGATTTACGCCTCTTAGCATCCCTTGCAAGCTCTATACACATCTCTTGCCTCCCTTGCAAGCTTTATATGTATGGGAAAACATGTACTTCAAGATCAGTTCAAATGCAACGCAAGACAACAGGGCGAAATCACTTAGTTTCTACATTTATTTCATTTAGTATAGTTTTTTTAATTCATTTTACTTATTTGGCCTCGATTTTTCACTCGAAGGAAAAGCACGGTCACAGATGAACAAATTAAAATGACAAAATTTAATAAATACGTTCTGTTCTAAATTAACACAATATTGATTTAATATGGATTTTTCTTTAGTAACACCTTTAAATCCAACGCTCCAAGTTAACATTGTCGAAATAATAAAACAAACTCCATTAATCCCCACAGATTTCACTTTTCGGTGACATTTATTCCATTCACACGCTTTTGATTAACTAACTTCGCCGGGGCATAAGAAAGATCGATTATGTACTTCATCGACTATACATGTAGTGGATATTTATTTACTGGATAATTCGTGACGCAGTATCGACTAGTGGTTTATTTGTGACGTAATTGCGGGGCGCGTGGCACCCTGCTGTATCCATGGTCATATAAGTTGTTATATATTGGTTACCAGCGACGCAGCCAACCTACATCGGGCCGTGCAGACCAAAATGAATTCCCATGGACATCAATGATAAACCCAAAGTTTGAAAAATCGAGGGAAAAAATAGTTTACAACTCTCCAGTGTTTTCAAGACATCACATTGAGGCTTTCGTTTTCTGTTCGATATTGTGGGAATGACCACCCCTAAAAAAAAAACAGTCCTGAAGCCATCGCCATTTTGAAAATGATCCCTCAACTCCATCAACCTCGTAACCAGGGTGTCGAGCAGTACGCGCCCACCACTACCTGCTCTCTCAACCTGTTACATGTATTATGGATCATTTGCATGTGCAAAATTTTTGAACACGTATGCAAATGAGAAATAGTGTGGTGTTTGCATGTGTGTTACATTTGCGTTTGTTTTTGTATGCGGTGTCTGGGATAAAATCAGAATCCATTTGTCGCGCCTTGAGTTACGAAAACACGATTGTTTTTTAAGTTAAAATGTTACCATTTTATCCCGCCAATATGCAGTATCACATTTCATATTAATATGAGCAACTTGGAAAGGCAATGATCGTGAAAACACGTAATGCACGTTGGAAATAACACCACCTACACGATATACATCCATTACTAGCCAATTGTAGTATAACGGAATCAGGATACAGGAAGAAAGTTTCCTATCAAGGGCTTACTTTTGGAAACGAGGCCGTGGACATTAAGTAAGCACTGGGGACGAGGTTGCAACGCCATTGCTTATTCAAACCCTTAAATGCAAGGACCACAAATCTCTATTAAAAATAAAACCAAGGGCAACAAAATGGTAATTTGGTCGGCGTAGTTATAATTTTTGGCATACTTATGGTCTGCAACTTAACCATGGGCTAGTCCAAAACGGATGACTCGACTAGTCAAGCCATCGTTGACTAGCGTGCGTTTGATGAAGGTCAGTTGAACTTTTATCGTTGCCATAGTTACCTAACTTGTTCTTGCTCCAAAATTATTTGCAGCTTAGCTGCATGCACTGTGAACAGACTGAATATTATGAGACGTACTAGTTAAACACAAATGGCATTTTAGTTAAAACAAAAAAAATCTTCAATGTACAAGGCACAAGTGTACACACGAACTTAAGAGTTACAACCGTTTAGTATCACACTATAGTAGCTAATTGTTACGATCTCGAACGACATGTAATTGGACGCAAAATTACAACATTAACGCAAAACAAAATGAAACCACAATGCACATGGACACCCAGACTGGGACCTTGAGTGCAGGGAATCATGCAGAACAAAATCTCGGGCAAACTTTACTCAGTCTTTAGCCAACAAAATTCCCAAAGTTTTCTCATGAGGCAAAGACAAGGTCCTCAGTATTTCACCAGCCAAGGAGACCTTTCTTCTAAAAATTTCACATTAGAGTCATACACAGTACTGAGAGTCAAACATTTTGGGACTAATGGACATTGTTGTGGCTTGAATTCAGAATCGAATACCATTTACCTGTTAGAACCGCATAATTATAGTATCGCCGAGTGTAGCATATTGATTTCTGAAAATGTTTGACGGTATACACAAAAGCCAGATTCTGTGTGCTGCAAAATACCATCCAATACACAACGAACATAATGTGGATGTAAAACAACACAATATATGTCGAGAAAACTTTAGGTTTTCGACAACATGGACAACTCTAGTCCAGCAACATACGTGCATAACACGCCGCACGAAATTCATGAAACCAAGAATGGGAGTCTCAGTAAGCCCCAAGAAAAAAATTGTTTAATTCATATTCAAATCCGTCTTTAATCCACTTATCTTACGTTTTACAATACACGGATTTTTTTTTACTGTGGCTGAATAAATATTTATACTTCCTCGACAGCTCGAGAAAAAAAGGCCCGCGTTCGGCAAATGATTAATTTAGATTTTTTTCCCCATAAATAATCCACTCTATGAGACGTGCTGGAAACTCGAGACGAGCCAAAAGACAAGATATATGATGTTAAGATAGATAATGCACACACGGGTGTAATAAATCGTGTAAAAATAAATGAAATATCACGTCTTTACCATAGTTTTACAATCGACGCTAACATTATTTTTGTTATCTATTTCGCAACGGGCATGTTATTTTGGGAAATAACTTAACATCGGCTTGGAATCACGCCCTCTATTGACGCATCGGTTTCCATTGCACTGACACACATTTAAATTAATATCCAAAGCCAATGTCGGCCATTGATGTTTCGTTATCATTTTTAAGAGGCTCTCTTTATATTACACAGTATAAACCTGCAACATGAAGGTAAATCTTTTGATGAACAATCAAAGGCGGATCAAGAACACAATTTTTGGGGGGCCCAAAAAATGTTGGTCCCCAAAAATTGGGTCAATAAAAAATTATGGGGGAGGAGTTCGGGGCCCGAAAACAATTGCATTCCAGATGCTCAGTAGTGCGATCTGAGGCAATTCCTGACCACTTTAACCAATGTTTTTTTTAGGAAAAGATAGTGGTGTACTCATTGCCTGCCTTTATTGCGACGTCACTTGAAAAAAAAATGGGTTCGGTTTTTTTTTTTGGGGGGGGGGCTATGGCCCCCTTTGGACCCTCCCCCCTGCTGGATCCGCCCTTGTGAACAATTCAGGACGCCTGACTGAAATTATCATATGATAATTCAACATTTCTTCTTCTTTTTCTTATACAGGGTGAGTCAAAAAAAGCGGAACCCAAACCCAAAAAAATATATTTCATATTTAAAATATATATATATAGCACCAAAAATAATGACTGTAAAGCCAATTTCATAAACTACTTTTAGATGAAAAAGTTATTGAAATCGCTCAATTCGTTCAAAGAATATCACCATTTAAACGCAATTATCCTAAAACCTCTTTTGTCCAAAAATGCGATTTCAAGAATCGTCGTCACATTGTCTTCAAACATCACCAGCGATAAAACCTCAGTTTAAAAGTTAAAGATATTCAACAAAGTCCTTTTGAAGGCCCGTCTTTTGAAAAAGTTGATTTTATAAATCATATTGTTTGCCCAAGCAGGGTTGTTATAAAGATATTGTGTACTACAGTTGTTGACAGTTGTTGAAACAAGTATTCTGTGTCATTTTCGTTGTTGTTCCAAACAGTCAGAACACGCAATAAATTGTGTAATTTTCCTTGTTGTTCCAAACAGTCAGAACACGCAATAAATTGGGGGGTTTTTTTTGGACGAAACAGGTTTTAGGGTCATTGCATTTATATGGTGATATTCTTTGAACGGTTCGAGCAATTTAAGTATGTTTTTCATCTAAACCTAGTTTATGAAATTGGCTTTCCAGTCATTATTATTTTGGTGCTAGGCCCTACATATTTTTTTAAATATGAAATATATTTTTGGGGGTTTGGGTTCCGCTTTTTTTTTACTCACCCTGTACGATATAAGTTTTTACACAGTGCATTGCATGAGCATAACGGTATATTTGACCTATTACTGCGAAACGTTGGTCTTTAATTATTTATAGCTATGTTACAACAGCACTTTGCAAACCACCAGAACTTTCAACCAAGTTTTGTATTAAGAGCGCTACTTTTCAAGTGCCAACTTAACTGCCAAAATAATGCTGAGTAGGTTTAAGAACTAAACAATCCGAACAATGGACATAGTTACACTGAATGCCTTGGTTTTAAATTAAATGACTTCAAGGCTTCGATTAAATTCGGTTGTGTGAAAATCAAACGGTTGTGTACTATGTGAACCTAGCAACCTGTTGTGTAAACTGTTGTTTACACAACTTGTGTAAAATCTTGCACAACTTGTTCATTTTTTTTTACACAACTGGTTGCTAGATTCATATAGTACACAACCGAAATAACAACAAGCTATTAGGACAAAGGTACTTGAAACTTGGATCTGTGGAAGAATTTAGAATCTGCAGCAATCTTCAGCCTTAACAAAATTAAAACAAATCGAATCAAAAACTAAAACCGAAATGGCACAAATCAATACCTTAACCGACTGCATACCACTATTAAGAGCATAACTTTCATAATGTACAATATTTTGTCACACAACTCCTAACGGCTTGTACGAAGGCTAACACGTACGTTAATTTTTACAAGCAATACAGTTGTTTACATCCATTAAAAGTATGTCGGTTACACTCATTCACAACACAACACGCAATGTCAAACAATAAAAAGTCACGGTATGGAAGGAGAAGTCTCGCTACAGTATGATACAGCTTTGCATATCACACTGCAGGTTGGTTTGTGCATAATCTAAATCATACTTATCTGTATCGTAATGACACTTTTTGGACCATTGTCCTGGTCATTTTGACCCGGAACCTCGGCAAAAGTGTCATTTGACCCAGAAATGTGTCATGTTGACCACGAAGAGTATCGGGTCAAATAAAACCGGAATCCGGGTCAAATCTGGCCCGGGACTCTTTAAAGCCGCCCTCGGGTCGACCTTGCTGACGACACAGAACAATCGGCCACTGACTTGTCAGGATCAAGCTGCTCCTGAGCTACGACGGTCGGGAACATTTCAGTCGCCGATTTGTGTGTGACATGGGTGTAACTGCGACGATATTATGACGATCGGCCTCAGCCGGCACTCAAAAATCGACAGTCGCAAGAGTACAAACATTTCAACTTCTAAATTTCACTTTCAATTTCAATTTCAACGGAATGTGGTTCCGAGAGGCGGGAATCAATCGCAGTCGACCTGTGTGAAGTTTTATTGTGATTCGTCATCGCGTCGTGGGTGACGCGAGCAATTATTCTGTGTCGAGATGCCGCTTGTTCTACGATAATCAAACGATTTCTCAGGGTGTCTTTATGACCTGAGCATGACTTTTGTGCTTGATGCCGACCGTTCCGTCGTGGCGCAAGCAAATCGCAGGTCGACCTGAGGGCGGCTTTGGAGTGCATAGTGTTCTAAAAACCGGGTCCTTAACTCCATCTTCCTTCAGACATCCTCACCGCACGATCTCTTCTTTAAGCAAGATCATCGTTTCGCAAAATGTCATAACGATTTCCTTCCTCCGTGACATCACACGATGGTTGGGTTATAACTACTTTTTTCTTTGGTCTTTCATGTTTAGCAAAATGTCCATCATCGACAAGGGAGTCAGGTACGATAAGGGACAATATGATTCACTAGCAGCTCAGCTGTCTCTGGAACTCAATTCCTCCTCATGACTGGGAATAAAAGCAGTCCGTATCCCAAATCAGTCACAATTTTGACGTCGAAATCTCTTCAAATCCACATTTCGCTTGAGAATCCTCAAGTACATGTAGTTATTATTCAGATATATTCACAAAAAAAGAAGGATCGAAACTTCTTCGTAACGCACACCGTGTAACATTTTGCCTACACGGCTATTACATCCGCATCTTTACAATAAAGGCATAGTTTTGAAGCCACTCTGCAGGGCGAAGACACTCTTTAAGAAGCAAATGTCGCACTTGTTTACCAGAAGTAGACTTCACAAGCTGACCAGAGTTAGTCCTGGCCAATCTTCAGACCTCACGAAAGTCGACCATAGTGTTTGGTCTCAGGAACCACCAGACGTTTGGGCGTAATTGCTGACCAAGAGCTGGTTCACAGGAAAGCGGCAGAGATTACCAATTTGGCCAGAGACTGAAGATAGTCTTAAGGCAAAGCACTGACTCAAAAGGTCGACAAGTGTAATTCTTGAAAACATGCAGAGATTACACTCTGCTGGATGACATGTGATGACCTTTTTTCCGTACTTCAACCAGCGTCAGACCAGCCAAAGCATAGATTCCACTTGTCGCTAAGTAGGAGTCCATCTCGCAGACTGGTGCTGCTTTCCCCTGACTTGCTTCTCATATTTGTATTCAGCTGCAATTAAAACACACAAGAACAGTTAGTACATTCAAACACAGGTAGACAGGATTTTAGAGTATTCTGGGGCAATTAGGAGGCACACTCAGCCACAGTAGAAAAGTGACCGAGGAGGGCACTGTTGTCTATCGCCGTAAAGCGTGCTGATGGCATAAAGCCAAAGCCGTAGTCAGGAGATATATCTGATTTTGGACACGGCCAAGAATGGAACGTGACCTACGTCATTTGTTTTGGGATTTCACGAGCTTCAGTGCTTGCGCTCTCGTTATTTCTTACACTGTACAGTGTTCCTAACTGCTTCCGTGACAAAACGGAAAGTGGGGCGCTGTGGTCCAATGGTTACGGTGTTCGACGCATAATATGCCGTGGTACATGGATGGGTTAGAACCCAGACGGGGAACATGGTGCTTGTGTTCTTGGGCAAGGTACTTTACTACGATTGCCTCTCTTCACCCAGGAGTATAAATGGGTACCTGGGAAGGTAGAGACCAGATTACGCTGATCTGGAGCTGCGGCAGAGAAATGGTCTCATGCCTGATGTACAGGGGTAATAATTGTAAAGCGCTTTGACACGTTTATGGCGCTATAAGCACCACATTATTGTTATTATGAAACAAATATTTCGGATTTTTTGTTCACCGAGAAATGTCCAAACAAGGACGATTATAAGAACTGATAAGTTTCTTTTTGTGCCAAGTGTATATCCCCACAGCATTGGGCTGTATCAGAGAGGCACATTGAACTTGCCCCATCAAAGCCAAATTACACATTTGCCTTACAAAATATGGACTTTTATACACCCTTTTGGCACTCTCGTATCCACACGTAGCTATCTTTTCTTCCTTCGTGTGGATATGACGTGCTCTCCTATGGTATTTTAGAAACTGAACGCTACTACACGCTTAAGGTTAAACACGAACCAAATCACCGACTCGATTTCCCCCGTGAGAAACCTGTTTGTCATCGAATGTGTGACGCTCAGTTTTGCAACCATAAATGACACCTTTCTGTGGGCATGATGACTGCAGTGTCTCATGAATGTTCAGTGATTATCCTTGGCCCTCTCCACTAATAATACTAAGTTAAAACCTATAGACGTTTCTTTGCCAACCCGTGCATGGAAGGTCAACGTCGCAAAAAAATATTTAAAAAATAAAGAAAGATTATTGTTTCCAAACATTACAATTGGATTTTTGAAAATACAACATAATCAACACACTACCAAAGACTTAATAAACAAAAATGCCTCTTTCCGATTCATCATGCCACTTATGCAGTTTTTGGCAAAAGGTTTTTTGCCAACCACGGCTTAAAGGGCCCATGTAATGTAATTTGTATTTAATGCAATACTTGTAAATGCACCTTTGTGTCCCATATTAAATTTTCATTTTGCCATTTTCAAGGGCGGTTTGGTGTCTTTTTGATTTTTGTGCTAATTAAAATTTCCATATTCATGAGCAAAAGTGTGATGACATTTGTAGACAGAAACCTCAATGCTTCAGCTATTTCAGCACCAAAATTTGTCAGAATTGTTGATATTTTGATGTCGTATATGTTCTTTTCTTTGGTGATTCATTGTTGTTTCAGTGCATGACAGTAAACCAATGAGCAGACTGTTCTTACATGATTTCAATATACTAATTGTGAACAGAAAACCCCTACAGTGAACAGTGCCTTCTCGAAATGAATCACAGCAACAGCGCCCTCATTTGTCAGGCAAAGCATGCATGGAAAATTATAAATGTTAAAAAAAAAAGTGCCATAAAAAGAGTTTGAAAAGCGTTTAAAAGTGCAATAAACTTAACCAAAAAGAAATGTCAAATAGTGTTCAAACATTATTTTAAGAGGAGTAGAAAGTTGCACAAAATATTTTTCCAAGTGAGATTGATTTCATGTATGCCCTTGTGACAGCCAATACAAAATGGCGCTTCAGTATTTACAAACGGAAGAAAGGTCTATAGACCATTATCATGTTGCGGCCATCTTTATTTTTTTTTTCCATTCAAATCAACGTAACCAAAGCGAGGCTGGAAGGAAAAATAGTCTGGTTCCTTTCTGTACAAAAAAAAAATCTTTCAGGGTGCATACCTGCAAATAAACTCCCATAGACACTAGTGCTAAATGCCCATACTTCAAAATTATTTTAAAAATACTCAAAACTCTCACAGGTATTCAAGCTGCACAGAAAAATGATGATCAATGTGTCATCTTTCATTTTCTTTTCGATTTTTGGTGGGTTGACCATTGACTTTTCGAGATATTTTCACGCAAAGAAGACGACCCCTATTTCCCCCAAAGCGGAAAAGTGGCCATCTTGAAAAACGATCCCTCCACAACATGGCAAAATAGCGCCACTTTCGAGCCCAATAGCATCCAAAATGCTCAGAATTGGAAGCCCCAAGTCCGGGCCAGAGGTTCATTACCATATCTCTTCAATTCCCCAATTTTACGGCGCTCAGAACTCTCTAATATAGAATATTTTGAGGGTATAACTTTTATTCATGAGCTTGGCGGATCGATTTACCGGTGTGCACCCTTCAGTACTGTTATGGATACAGGGAACATGACTGAAATGATGGCAGCATGATAAAGGTCTATAGGCTTACGAGCGTGGATGGAATCGTAATACTTACTGGCCAGGGTACAGAATGTCATTCCCCACGAAATGCTCCAGATCCATCCCACAATGAAGATAGATGTGATGGTCTGCAACACAGCAGCCAGTAGGTTCCATAGGAACGCACGCTGTGAGCTGATCCTGGTGAAGCCACAACAGAACACGGAGAACGCAGACACAAGGGTACCTAATAGTAATAACAGTGAGGGAAAACAAAAAGGTAAATCAAGTGAATGCTTAGAATAAACAACTGAGGGCGTACGTATCACCATGACCTCGGCCGACCTTGGCGTCATCCTTTAATTAGTGGCCGATTTTCGTTTTCCAATTGACATTTTAAAGTTTTTACAATTATATACCAAAAAAAGGAAAAAGTTGTATTATTAACTACCAACGAATTTGTTGTCAGGTGGGCGCATGCAGCGAGCATTACACCACAGTAACTGTTTGCCCACTAAAAACGTCGGCTGGTGCTGTGGTGCAGCTTTTCCGCATATTATAATGCATGCGAGTTGCAGACTAGTACAAAAACTGCCATAGACCCCGATGATAAATGCCCCCACTTTCGAAATTCAGGATAAATACTCACAAATCTCCAAGGTCTTTCAGATACACATCAAATTAAAGGGAAAATACAACATTTGCAAACATCAAAAAATAAAGTTACCAAATTATTTTGAAATACCTTGCTAAACCGTTAGTGAATGACATTCTAAAACATCTTGTAAAATCATGGCACCTGGTGTGCTGTCATTTTCAAGAAAAGTGCTATTTTCATATCAATTTTCAACGCTGGTCGGCCGACCAGTGTTGGGAAAAACTTTTTTTTTTTTAAATACTGGCCCCCAATTGACCATATTTAGTTAGTCCGGTTTTGTTTGCAATCGATTGCACACCTATGAACGGGTACAAGCAAGCTAGACTGGTTCCCTGACCTTACAATTCCCCAGCGTACATAAATTGCTCCGTTTCATTTTAAATGGAGTCAGGGAACCAGACTACAGGAAAATGACTGTTTTTCTTCGTTTTTATAGCATCTACGAACCCAAAACGTCAAAAAAGTCAGTGTAACAATATATATACTATAATTACTATAAAAAATTATATACTATATGGCCCCCCCCCCCCAAAAAAAAACAATCCATCCATTTCTGAAAATTACAGCAAAAGCAAACGATGTATATTCCCTTTAAAGCTTATTTCATATATTTTTGGGCTAAAACAATCCGTCCAAAGATTGTCCCCCCATAAAAAATTGCCTGTAGCCCATCGCCATCTTGAAACATGATACCTGCGCTCATTATTGAAAAATACAGCAATTTTAGGGCCCAATTTCATCAGAATTTCACAGAAAATACAAGCTCGCAGTCCCTTTCACGGCTTCCACCCTTCTTATTTTACAAACCCTCAAGTTCATGACCTACAAAATGATCTAATAGCAAAAGAATTGAGGGCATGCAAATCGTGATTTGGCCGGCTATAGGCAATTTCGGACCTATTTACTGGCCTGCAACCATAGACGCATATTGAGTAGGCCTAGTCCTTCTATAGATTTTTTTAAAAATAAATCAATGACAAAATCTGAACACATTGAACAAGTTCATACTTTTTTACTCTTGGATATTCTTTATACTGCTGCTCATCATTAACGATGTGTTTTGTTGTTGATTTCAAACAAAATGTACTACTATCCTACACAAGTGCATGGCAAAGAAAAAACATAAAATAAGTTGCTGCTATCTAAGCTGACCCCGTTGCTACACCCAACCGTTGCATATAGTTTCGTCGATGACTTGTCAAATCACTTCAGTTTCCTGACAGTAAATGTACAAGGGTGGTGGCTTGTGTGATGCTCCGTGAAAATCACAGGCTCGATATTGGTGACGTATATACGCTGGTTCATGCCAGACTATCGATTTCAATGAGCTTGAAGAGAGCAGTACGGACCATTGATCGGATACTTGGACGGAAGGATGCACCACGTGCTGCCGCGTGGATGTACTGCTGACCCAGATCAGTAATGAAAGAGTACCCATCATTGTGGGTCGCGTCCTTGGGGGAGAGATGCGGATAGTCGTATATCGATTGGACACGCTGCATGGATGGAAAACTATTAAAGCACCTTGTCAGATTTGTCACTAGAAACAAAGTCAAACTTTTACCCACAACTGAGTACAGCTAGGATCAGTGGGTGCAAGTTGGGTTGTTTTCTATCTGAATAGAGTGCTTTCAGAGTGAGAAATCAAAAACATCTAAAGGAAAGAAAGACATTTTGATCCAGGTGAGCAGTTTGTTTCAACTATCGTTCATTAGAGATAATTTTTCTTTAATTTAAAAAACATGGTAGTTTAGGCCTACTATTTGTTTTGTCTTGATATCACTGTACCTGTTAGAAAGTAATACCAACAATCTTTCCCTGAATCAGGCCAGATCTTCTTAATCCTCCTTAAATAAAAAGACAATACTAATCCATTTCAAAGTCTCCTCTCCTAAGTTGTTGCCGTCATAGGGACCCAGAGCCTTCTATATCAATCCCGGGCTATGGACTCCGTCACAAGTACCCCCTCAGCGGCTCACAAGAGAAAGTTGGGGGAGGCCACTGGGAGAGACTCCTGAAAGCATTGCGTCCTTGTCCCCCGTCTCCTCCCCTCCCACCTTCCGGAGCTTTGGCGAACGGTGAAGAAACGCCATCCACTTTGTATACAGACAGTCTATTGTCAAAGTATAAACTACTTGGAACATAAACACGGTACCGGGTACGCTAGCTACATGTTTCGCGCCTTCCCTTCTCTAGCTTCCCTTGTCCTAATCACAAATTTATGTTTTTATCCATAAATTACTGCAAAATTGATTGGTCACACTCAACTAGCAGGCTTAGTCCACTAATAATTCAAAAGTGGGCTGTCGGATTGTAAAGTCCAATTCCCATCTTCGCGAGCACAATACCCCTTTTGCCAAATACCCTCACACTGACTGACAGTAACAAACTTCACAGTAAATATTTATGTTTGAGTTTACTTCTTCTCGTCTCTTCTCGAACTCCTTCACTGCAGGTCAAGACTCTCATGGGTATTTCACCGGTTCTCGTAATAAACACAATTTATTTTTGCCATTTGCTCGCACGTCTCACTCTATCCGATCAGCACTTCGAGTATTTCTTTATGGGTCTCGTCTCTCGAACACCACGGGCGACGGAGGTAATCGGAGCCCAATCGTCCGTTGGACAATTTAAACGATGCTTCACGAGAGATTCCCATTTCCAATCGTGTAACAGCTTTATCCGATCTTCGATTCGATTTCCATCCACTCACTTCAGCATAATGCATCACGTCTTTTTTTGTCAGTCCGTATTATGTCTGCTTTTCTGTGCTGTATTATTTTTTGTTTCCAGGCAAATTTTTGTTTTGATCACTATGTTTTGTTGCTCGATTGTCTTTCATGGCAATTTTGGGGAACATTTATTCGGCTTTCATGGGGCTTTTCTGTACGAGCCTCGTCTTCTTGAAAATGCCTCGTTGTTTATTTTGTACAATTTTGTAATTGTTCTTTGTGCCAATCTTTTATTTAATTAATTTCATATTTATTTACTTTTTCTTTGTCACAAACTGACAATCCAAATATCTCTTTGAATTGAGTTGGATTAAGCAGAGTATTGGAGAGTGACGTATGTCCGTTGACATGGCAACTGGTGAACTAAACACTAACACGCATGGTTACCAAGCGTTTTCAAAGCAGTTGTTTTTAAAAGCATGCATGTATAAATCAACGCAGGGCAGCATATTGCTCAAAAAATCCACGTCATCAATGTGGATGACGATATCCTTGCAAGCTGTATTTTCATATTTTGATTACTTGCATGGCGTGGCTTCCAAATTCCCCGATTATAGCTCCTTTACACAGATGTTTCCGAACTCATCTAGCCATCAGTTGCAGCTGTGCAATCAAGTTAAAAGAAATATTTTGCCAGAAAAAATGTAAATACTGGCATTCCTGTTGATGTCTTATACCCTCGGCGATGATTTACTCCACACGCAAGGAGTAAGGACCGAGGAGAACTTGTTATTCTTCTCAGGAAATCCAGCTTCTTAATAGATGTCCCAGGGCTTACACGCTGATGATAACTGGCAGAGCGAACCGCTAGAGAAGCTTCTTCAATAAGTCACGTCCAAGAATCAGACGGCAATGACGCACGCTGTGTACAGCCAGGCGCCTGGCTCGTATTCTGATTGGGTAACAGCGGAATGAATAGATTGGGTGTATATCCCCGCTTTACCAGCGACAGCAAACTGGTCGAAGCGGTCGTTTCATCTGAACACGGAGGAATGTACCTTCTGGGCCTTGTTTCAGCTTGGATCGTCACATATCCACTGACGCCAATGCTCCAGCTCTCCGATTCATCAGCAATGTGAATCTACGTACATTTCCGTAAACTGAATAACTCGGAATTGCCGAAGCAACGAGACTACTTTCGAAGACCAATTCAATCACTCAGTCTGTCGTTGGACTGATCAAATAATTCAAAGGGTGTGTCAAGGTGGTTAATGCTGTCTTTGGTCAAAACAGTCCGATTAAGAATGGCAGCCATCTGCAAGGAAAATTACAACACTTATTCTGTCTATAATTATACAGAACCTCCACTAGATGCAGTGCGGATTTAAAGGGCCCGCGTTATGTAATTGTTTCAATGGAATCCTTGAAAAGACATGTTTGTGTCGCATTTAACCCTACTTTCAATTTTCGTTTCTCCATTTTCAAGAATATTTTGGTCTAGTCCTGTTGTTTTTGTTTTTATGCTAATGCGAATTTCCATATTCATGAACAAAAGAGTGATGTCATTTCAGACAAAAACCTCAACACTACGGGTATTTCAGCAGCTACAGTTGCCAGAGTATTAGATATTTCGCTGTCGTAAATTTTCTTTTCTTTGGTGATTCGTTGTTGTGCCAGTACATGGCAGTAAGCCAATGATCAAACTGTTCTCACAAACGTTTTCAATGAGCAACTTTTGGGCTCACAAATTATTTGAACAGAAAACGCCTAAACTGAACAGAGTCCTCCCGAAATGACATCACAGCAACAGCGCCTTCGCTTGTCCGGAAAAGCTTGGAAATTTGTTAAATATTTAATAAAAGTGCACTTTTCAATAAAATTAACCAAAAATGGATGTCAAACAATTTTCATATATTT